ACATTACCAAGGTAGGAATTCTTCTCTGCATTGCATCGTTACCTAATGGAGTGTCCTCTAGGATTGAGAATCTTGTACCACCTTTTTCCCACCCTTCTTTCTCTTGTTCCTCGTGGAGGCTTCATCCCCATCGTAAAAGTCGTTGTTCTTGTACCGACTGGCCCCACACCTGGGACATTTATCTAGTGACTTGAATGTGTCGCCACAAAAAAGGATACAATGGTTGGGGCATGCATGGATTTTTTCAACCCCCATTGTCAATGGACTTATAACCTTCTTCGCTTGGTATGTGTTGGCGGGAACTGAGTTTGGCTATGGCAGCAACCATGACAGGAGACACAATAGATCATTGAAACTATAGTCTGACCAGCCGTACTTAGCCTTCAGGATGAGTAGCTCAAGCACAAAACATAGCAATGTCCAGTGTGTCAGACAACCCTTTTCAACACTATACATAGTCTCGTTCGATATTTTTTTACCCTTTCTAAATTTTCTAGACCTTTCAGGCTCTTTAGTAAAATCTCTGGTCCAATGGCTCGAATCATTTCCTCTAAATGATCAAAATTATCTTCATACCTGACACGTGCTCTGCCATAATTATTGGACCACCTTCATCGTTACTATCCCAACCACCAGCATCACCACCTTGTTCATTGCCAAACTTGAGATCTATTTGTGCATCAAGCTCTGCTAAATATTGGGACAGGGATTCTAGGGGTTCAGTGTCGTCTTTCTCCTCATCCTCATTGTTAACAACAACCGCTTCACCATGATGAATCCACACTGTGTAGTCCTCAACAAATCCTCGCATAATCAAATGTGATCTGATGATAGTCACATCTGTCCATGCCATATGGTTCTTGCAATCTTTATAGGGACAAATAATTGTATCCTTATTCCCTCATGCTTCTATGCGGCTTCAATAAATTTATCCACCTCTTCACAGAAACATACCTTGAACCTTAATGAACCATACATCCAAGAGTTCCTGTATTCCATCTTTTATAACAACAATAAAAGAAAATACATTAAAGGACTACTTATTCATATATATATATATATAAAGGAATCAAATTAATAATTACTTGAGAATAATTGTATATATTTCATATATATATAAATATAAATCAAATCTAATTACATGAAGCATATCAAATACACTAGGTAAAGGATAATTAATTAATGGCCTATTTATCCATAAATAATTAAAAATACATATTTGTTGATTACAACAACAATTTCAAAGACAACAATTAGCAATAATTAATATTTTACTCAATATCTTTCATGCAAACCCTAGTCCAATTTCATCAAACATAAATTTACAAAAATGAAATTAATAAAAAAACCCTAACCCTAGATCTAGATCTAGATACACATGAAACATCCATAAAACTAACTAATTGTTCACTAAAATCAAGAAAACATCGACCAAATAAGGGTATGATCTTATTCTCCTACCTAATTTATCCTAGTACCTTCAAAATTTGGGTCTAATTTGCTTCATAAGTAGCTCAAGCATCATAGAAGAGAGAGAAAAGCAAAACTCTAATCACTCACTAACCAACCATTAAAACTTCAAAAAAAAAGTTTAGAATAGCATTTCCTTATCTTCTACAACATCTCCACCAAAGGATTTGAGACCAAAATCTCCCCCGTAGTAGAATAATTTTTTGGAGGTACCCAAGGCCTCCCAAGCCTTTTTTCTCGGGTAAGAGTGAGTGACCCGAGGAGGAAGAATGGGGCTCTAGCCTTTTATACGTGGAGCATTTGTAGGGACGGCTGGTGATTGAGCCGTCCCTACAAATCGCAACAGTGGGGGCGGCTGGTGAGTGAGCCGGCCCTACAAATCGACCTATTTGTAGGGGTGGCTCGTATCACCAGCCGCCCCTACTGTGCTATTTGTAAGGGTGGCTGGTCTTGTGGGTCCCGAGCATGCCCACTGCAGGGGCGGCTGGTGGCTCCATCACCAACCGCCCCTACAAAAAAATTGTCCCACTGGTATAAACGTTTTCTATAGTAGTGTCAGAGAATTGAACGCCTCGACCCCATCGGCCATGGACTCCATCGTCTCCTGCGACAGGTGCGGTAGCTTGTGCGGCGCGAGGACCCCTCTTTTTCTGAGAGAGGATCCATTTGACATCGTGCTCCGGCATCAAAAGTTTCTTACCCTTAGCATGAGACTCCGCACCATCTCCACCGGTGGCGGCCACAGCCGCAGCAGACTTCACACTGCCATGGGAGACTCCGGTCGCCACACCGGACGCCAGAGCCACATCTTCCTCCATCGTCGGGCCAGGCCCTCCTCGTCACCAGCCGTCGGCACCTTCGACAAGTACCCACCAAGCCCGGATGGGATGATCTCTTCGGCACCCTTTTTTTACTCAATCAAGAAACAAGATCGGACGTGATTCCGGTTCATCTCCGTTTTAGTATAAAGAGGGAGTTTGTTCGTGGGACGAAGTGGCGGCCGAAGTATAAAGAGGGATACGAACTCTAGGGTGGTCTGGTTTTTGCCCCAATTTGAGGGTGCAACTTCGACTTGTAATGGAATTATATCTGTTTTATTTTATATATCGATTCCAACTCGCAATGGATCCACATCCACTCCGTTGTGGCATCGTGACTGTACACATGATAATCAGAAAGACCGATTGCTAATACTTATTTGTTTAACATTCAGGTATGTTTCAATGGGTGACATAGTCGATCTATCCTCAACCAAATCTATGGTATCAACTTATAGCACATACTACCTCCGTCATAAATAAATGCATGTCTCATTTTTTTTGAGGAGTCAAAAATTTTAAAGTTTGAATAAACATATACAAAGATATACTAATATTTATGATGTAAAATAAATATCATTAGATTGTTTATGAAATATACTTTCATAATATACTTATACTTTGCAAATACAAATGTTGATACTATTTTCTATATTTCTCGTAAAGTGAGATGTGCGTTTATTTTGGGAGCTCATAACATGAATAGCCCACTAACAACCTTACAACTTTACATGATCTTAGAGTGTGTATAAGACTAGCTCTTGATTAAGAGACAATTTTTCTCTCTCTTCTAAGAAAATATGAAATAATATACTTAGAGCCAACTCATAAGTCACTATTAGAGCTGCCCTTAGCAGTGTAGCGACCTATATGCTGCCGCTACCTTTTTTGTGGATAGTGTGTCAAGCCGCTGCGCACGGACGCAACATGCATTCTGTCATGCTCATGCCATAGAGTATATATACTCCTTCTCTATTCTTTTTTACATGTCATATTAGTCGTAAGTCCAATGTTACTATCTTTGATTATACATTTTTAAATATAGTTTTATAATATACTAATTATATACTATGAAAGTATTTTCCCCTGCGAATCTAAAAATATAAATATTATATAGTCAAATATACAAATTTTACATATGTTTTTCGCAAAGTTTAAACCCTGCTCCTGTGGCCTTCAAGGACAATGTAATGATTGGCATAAGGTGGAGAGACCAACACTATACAAGACGAAACGTCAATGCTGTACAAACTGAGGGGGTGTTTGGCAGGGCTCCTTCAAAGGGGGCTCGGCTCCGGCTCCTTTGTTTTTTCACTGAAAAACGGGTCATCAAAAAAAAAATTGTAGGACTCCTTGGGAGGAGCCAGAGCCAGGGAGGAGCCTTACCAAACAGCCCTGTATTGTTCCATGGTTTCTGGAAATAAGGGAGAGAAAAAATGCCAGGGAAAATGTGACTTAAGATGCATATCTCAATTTGAACTCTGAATTCTGAATGCTAAACCATGTAGTTCTGAATTGTGGTGATCTGCACGCGTTCGACATGCAGGAGCCTTAATAACACGATCAGATCATTCACAAGTTCGGAGTGCAGGTCACCACAAATCCACGATCCAACCAAATGTTAGCAAGAGCAGAGGAAGGAATTTGGAAGAGTAACAGTCGGCAAGAACAGAGGGGATACATTCGGCAATGAATGATTAATCAGACATGATAAGATTCATATTCAACAAGCTTGCCCTCTCGCTCCACATCTTTTTCTCTACCTTAATAAAATACATTTTTTTTTGGAGTACATGTTTGCCGCACAACAGACGTCTCTTCACTTGGGCTTAACCCATTCTGGGACGTCATCGGTCAGCGTCTGGGCTGGAGGCCCATTTACTTTTTTTTTTGCGATCGAGGCCCATTTACATTAGGTGTCAGCTCTCAACTCTCCATCGGACGCACTCATTCAGTCGACCTCAGGCGCCGCCGCCGCCGCCGCCAGCGCCCGACCCCAGGCCGCAACGCCCACGGCCGCTGCGTCGCGCCACTCCAGCTCCAGCGCCACGCCCCCATCCGCTGCCGCGCTGCGTCGCCGGTTGCCCATGGCTGCCGGACACCGGCGTTGAAGTCGTAAGTTTGTTTCTTCACTAAGAATTCCTCCTCCTCGATGCGACGTCCCAACTCACGCCCCAGGCACCGATCCGTCGTCCGTACCGCGCCGTGCCGGAACTGCGATCCGGAACGATGGTTCCCGGGACGCGGATCACCGCTACGTACCGCGATCCCTGTGATTTCTATTACAAGAGTGTTACTTGGCTGACTAACTTAGATTCATCTGATGTGCAACTGTCTTCCTTTTGCCCCTTGGATTATTAGAGGACGGTTCTGTAGTAGGGGCTCATAATTGTCATTCATCAGTCATCACCCTCTCTTGCCTTGTGGAAACCTTATAAACTGTTTGCTCTTTGAGTAACAGTTATGGATGTTGCGCTATAATAACCCACAAAGTGGGATAAATGCTACGTGATGGTGTAGCTGATTTGATATTCAGTTTTCTGTGGTATTCTCTGGATAGTTTACTCAAGCACACAAAATTTACTCTTAATTGCACTTGAATTTCCACCGTTCTGAATTCTGATGACAAACTTGTGGTCCTCTTTCTGTTTATGTCGAAGATAAGTCGGCGCCCAAAGTCTTACTGTTGGAAGAGCTCCTCATTTATCGTCAATGGAAGCCAAGTTTTTCCGTTTCCTGAAGCTCGTTGGGGTCGGCTTCAAAGCGAGGTCAGAGAGCCAAGGCCGCGAGCTGTTCCTGAAACTGGGCTACAGCCACGAGGTGCAGTTCACCGCTCCCCCAGCGGTCCGTGTCTTCTGCTTCAAACCCAACATAATCTGCTGCACTGGCATCGACAAGGACAGGGTGCACCAGTTCGCCGGCGCTGTCCGAAGCTGCAAACCCCCAGAGGTGTACAAGGGGAAGGGGATCCTGTACATTGACGAGGTTATCAAGCTGAAGCCCGGGAAGAAGCAAAAGAAGTGACGACTCCAAGGCAGATCACCATTGTCTTTGGCTTTTAACCCCTTGAGACCCATCCTTCCTCACATTTGTAGTGACGCAGATCTGGTCTGGTTGTGTTGTGTTGTGCTAGGCAGATCACCATTGTCTTATCCTTACCTCAGTTGCAGGCAACACGATGTATGTGGGGCATGTAATGAGGTTGTAGGACCATGAGTGGGAACGAGTTACCAGTTCCCTTTTGTTGAAATCAGCTGGAACATTGATTTGCAAATTGGATTGAATTTTTCGAGTGCGATATTGCCTTTTGAATTTGGGTCTTTCGATTGATTGTTGCAAACTGAGTGTGAACTGACCTGAGAACTGAAGCTAGGACCCTGAAATAGATGCGTGTTGCATAGTACTAGTATCAATTATACTGGCACTCAATCTGCAAGACTACAACGATAATAAGGTACTGTAAGATAAAAATAATACTGGTACAGATTTATCTAATATTCCATACAGAAATACAGAATGCCGTGCAGGCCTATAGAAACCTGATGAGCGTCTGATGAGCGTTTGTGATTTGTGCTGCTGCAGTCTGTGACAAACGAAGACGACCGAAGTAAGGTCTTGTTTCCTCACTGAGTTTACTCCCTATCACATCGTTGAGTTTACTCCCTGTCACATCGTATGTTTGACACATGCGTGGAGTATTAAATATAGACTAAAAAAATAACTAATTGCACAGATTACGACTAATTTGCGAGACGAATTTTTTAAGCGTAATTAGTTCATGATTTGACAATATGGTGCTACAGTAAACATGTGCTAATGATAGATTAATTAGGCTTAATAATTTCGTCTCGCGGATTACCGAAGACTTCTATAATTTATTTTATTAGTACTATCCGAACACTTCATGTGACATCCCTAAACTTTACTCTCTGGATTTAAACACCATCTAAGTTTGTAGGATTTAGAAGTCCAGACTGAACGCCTATTTCTCAGCTGACACTGAATAAATGGAAATGCTGCAGCCATCACTCAGCCTGTTCGTTTCGGCTGGATTAGCTTATAAGCCATCGGCTGAAGTACTGCTGGCTGGTTTGATGTGAGAGGAAAACACTATTGGCTGGCTGATAAGCCAAGCCAGATACAGACAGTTACAGCCTGCCGAACAGGCTGATTGTCGTGCAGGCTGAAATTGGAAATCTAGCTCATTTAATAAGTTAGTCTTGTTGCAGTTTCATATTTTATTTGCAAAGTAGCATTCCCCTTTTTTGTATTTTTTGATTGAATTTATGATGTGATCCGTAAGACCGTAAGGCTTTCTCTGGTGGGTCGGTGGGTTCGATTCCTGGCGAAGAGGCATATCAAAGAGAATGGGTTTGATTTTCTCTCACTTTGCGTTCAAAAATTTTCTCTTACTTCTCCAGTGGTGGGTTTAGTTTTGTATGTCCTTCTCTCTCCTTCTTCCTTGCAAAAATAATTATTTAATGAGTACAAACCAATTCCTATTTTAAGATCCGGTTGCTCCACAAAGCTAGGTTCAATTAGCCACTAGCGATGAAGAATCGATTTCTGACCTCACACATCAATACATTATCGCAGAGTTCAGCCACCGGAGAAGTCCTACTACTACTCGATGACGGTACCCACTGGTGGCAACACCCGTCTCGATGCTCACCGGGACACGTAGCCACGTATGCAAGTGCAGCTGTGCAGTAGACTACTGTCATGATCAAGATAACTAGAGGGTTTTAGCCATCCACATTGCAAGTACAAACCACTCACTAGTTCTCCTCAAACCTTTATAAAGGTGCAAAGGTGCAAACGGTTTCATGATCATAAAAAAAGAGTGAGGAGTGAGATGGCGACGTATGAGCCCATTTCGCAAACCAAACACTCCGAGAAGGTGAGAACAAAGTAAAAGTGAAGACCGCACAATATGCAGCAACAAGGAATCAGTTGTCAGTAATGGCGAAGCATGCAAATTATCAAACAGATGGAAGCATTTGGGCCCAGTTTCCCGAATTTACAACGAGTGGAGGCCTTTGAGCCTTCTTTCGTTCGCTTCAATGATTTTCCTTTGCCCGGTTCAACAGCTGAGTAAGTGCAGTGCAGACAGTGGGACACGGACGATGAGACGAGCAGAGGCACAGTCCAAACAACCGGTGGGCTCCTGGATTTGCTAGAGGTTGGAGATAAGCAGCGGAGAAAGAGGTCTGCATTCTGCCATTCTTTTTGTATCATAAGTCGTTCTCGTCTGCTAAACTGTCAGGCTACGGATCAAGCCTGACGGGATTCTAGGTGGAAAATAGCAAGAACTGATAAGAAATTGTAAGAACTAAGAACAACTACGATAAGCTGAATCTGTATTGCGATGAATGTAACTGCAATGTAACTGAATGATAACAGAATTGGTTCAGGTGTTCGATGCCTCTCCCCTGTCCACCCTCTCGACCTTTATAGGTCACGCTTACAAGGCCTCTGGCCACGCCTCGGCAACACAGGCCGGTTCTATTCTAATGGCCCAAGGCCCATGCGCTTAGCCGACTTAACCAGCCACCGTTCTGCTTCTCTTCCGCTGTCGCCGTACGTGCTACAGTACTCCCTCTTCTCTTCCTTTTTTTTTTGACATAAACACCCGGGCGATTTTCATTGTGTGGTTGATCTGGACACGAACAAAATGATAGGATCTTCAAGAGACAAAGCAAGACGCTGGACAAGCTCTTTCTCTGACCTCCACGATAGCATTTTACTCTGGAGTGCTGCAGGAGCTAAATGCCTGAAGCTGCTTGTTCCAACAATTTTAGGAGATTAATCCCTTTTTTCGATTCTTGATTGATTCCCAGCTTATCAATCAGATAATCTCGGCTACGCAGCTGCGCTCCTGGCACAGGTATCTGAAATTCAAGCCAGAAACCATTCTGGATCTTTCAAAAAAAAAATGTTGTCGTCCTGGCAATTATTTCCTTTAGTTTCACAACGGGCTAGGTAACTGGCAATAGGTGGACACAAAAAGAATTAAAAATGAACTGTCGAGCTGGCAGCATCAAAACAATCATGGAACAAAGGAAGAAAAACTTCCATAACAGGAGTATTATTTTGAAAAAAAGAAGGCTTATTTTGATTCTAGCATTATCCATAACAATGTTGCGAAAGAATTTTTCATATATGCACCATGTTCCGTAGAATATGAAAGTTCATTTTCTTCATTTTTTCTAACATCAAAAGGACATTGTGAGCCAAAATCATTGGATGTAAGTGAATCGTTTGGATTTGTTGCAACAACACATAAAGGTATTATAAAGCAAAATTGACTTACTAGATTAATATTTCAACACTAAGATGGCCATATATCATATCATGTAGTGGTCTCGGTCCCGGGAAAAAGGACAGGAGGCACAGCGGTAGGACCGTGGTCTCTCGATCTGTCTAACACATGTTTAAACAAAATGACTTTCTCTCACATTTCTCTCATTATAGTTCACTGACATGCCTATCTATTAGGTTGTGCGGGCCGGCAGACCCTAGACCGAATCTATAGGCGCAACTCTCGAAATGCCCGCCTAGGCAAATGTGCTTAGATTTGCATTTGCGAATTGAGGTCGGTTCAAACTTCTAAGTGACTTGAGCACTGGCTGGTTCCGGAAAGGATCCTTCGAAGATGATACGGAGTAGTACTAGTTGCCGATCTGGGGCAATTTGAGCCGCCGCGTTCTCGTGTGCCATCTCGCATCCAAATCTCTACTATATAAAGAGCCGCTGCCGCCGCCACCCCACAACCAGAACCACGCGCTCCTTCCAAATTCCAAAATGAGCGCCATTGGCTACCACGCCCTCCTCCCCATCCCCCTCCCTGGTTCGGAGCAGCAGGCGCTGCAGAGCCACCGTCCCAGCCCCCAGAGCCACCGTCCTAGCCCCCTCCTCGTCGTGATGGCGCCGTCATCCCCAGCATCCCCGACCAGGACGCGTCGGACGCTGCCCCCCTCGTCATCGTCAAGGCGAGGGACGCCTGGAAGGCCTTCGCATTGGTGGCCGTGAAGGCTGCTCGTCTTCCAGCAGCGGGAGTCGCCATGGCGTTCGACGCTTCGCGTCGTCTATGCCGCTTCGACTCGCCCACCGCCGTCGTCGACCCTGATGAGAATCCGCGTCTCGTCGACGACGTAGATGCGGGGGCGGGGCACAACCGCTCCATCATGAGGTGCCTCGCCCGCCTGGTCATGGTGAATGCTAAGCTGTACCTCACTTCTCTCCTCCCGTCACCTCTCCCGGCGGCCGCAACATTCTTCTGGCTGTCGAAGGCCAACCATCCCCGGCGCTGCAAGCTGGTGAGGATTATGAGCGCGCCGGATGCCACCCGAATCGACTCCGAGCAAGGCGTCGCGGCCCCTCCAGCTACCGAGCATCCATCCACTGCAGCCGCGGCACCTCCAGCTCCTCCATCCGTTGGCAAGCTGTACCACCGCCCCGACCTCGACCTCGACCTCGCTGGCCACGATAGCGAACATATCGGCGAGGCCTCATCCGCGGCGCCGTCAATCGCCATCCTGGAAGAGTTTGTGAAGGAAGAAATCACGGCGTCTCTGGAGGAGATAGTCGAAGAAGAGACCAAAGCGGCGCCCACCTCTACCCCACAGTAGGCTATCGAGGACGCTGGCCATCCACGACAAACACTCGAGGAATTGTTCATGAGCTCGCCATCCATCACCATCCACATCCACACCAACACCACGGGCTCCAGAACGCGTACGTCGCGGGGGACCAAGCCCATCAGCTCCGGCGGGTCTCCCCGAAAGCGACGCCGTGCGGCAGGGATGCCTGCTCCCAACCCTCATCCTTCAAGGCGTCCGAGGTCATCTCGTGCCCATCATCATGCTCATGGGGGCTCGGGAGGGGCTCCTCCGATGCCACCTGCTCCTGGAGGCGCTGCGCCACCCTCTCCTGTGTTCGCATTGGCATATGGTGTTGCCCTTCTGCCTCCTGAGGATCCTGCTCCTGCAGGCGCGGCGCCACCCCCTCCCACATCTGGCGAGGCCCTGTTTCACAGCCTCTAGCAAATGGTCACCAGCAGCCGCAACCGCCTCCGCCCCAGGACCAAGCATTGGCTGGTGCCGCTCAGGGAAATCCACTTGCTGCTTCACATCCTCCAGCACCTGCGGACCCGAATTCATCAGCACTGCAGCCGCAGCCGCCTCCACCCCAGGACCAAGCATTGGTTACTGCGGCTGCGGTTCAGGGAGGCCAGCCTGCTCCCAACCCTCCAGCTCCTTCTGCTGTTGCTAATGTCAATCCTAACGATGTACGTGTTTTCGATTCTAAAAACTACACCACTCTTATTAATTTGGGTTCTGTTTTGTGTTTATCTAACTTTACCTTGTTAAATTGCAGAGGAATTTCAATTGGGAGCTAGGCCATCTGGATATCGCGTCGCAGGCTCTGAATACGCTATACCAGCGGAGGGACGAGGCTACCAAGGATTGGCACCCGGAGAGGAAAGTGCCTTACACATGGGCACTCATGTCAGGTTTCGTTGTGGTGGCTTTTGGCGTGCTAGCTTCTACCGCCTCTATTGATCGGTCTTTCATTCGAGGCGTGGCTTCTGCTTGCGCTCGACTGTCCTCCATAGGGGCAACATTTATGGTGGAGTACGTTTTGTCGGATACAGTAGGCCACCTGCGCGGGTTTATATTCGGCGGCGTCACGACAGCTTTTACGCTTGTGCTCTGGCTAGCGGGAAACCCTGAGGACCGGGCTATTTTTTTCAGACTGTTGCTCCTCATCCTGAAGATCTTGTTTTACTATCCTGGAGTTGGTCTTGTCATTGTATTTCGCTGCATTGGCGGTTGGATTAAAGCAGGTTTTAGTAAAGCAAAAAATGGAATAAAGATTGCAGCAGAGAAGTCCTACGATGCTGTCAAGGCTTACCTGGTACATCCACCACCACCAGGACAGGGGGCAGGAGGTCCAGCCAATGCGCGGGTTGGCCCGTAGGCTCTGCAGGTAATACCGTTCCTATTTGTGGTCCTAGCTAAGAAATTCGGTTCCGGGACCTTCTGCATCTGTCATCCGATTCCTTCTACTGTTTTTGTAGATATATAAGCCTGATGTATGATATTCTGTAATGCATTTGTTCTAAAATGACAAAGGATTCATTGGGTCAAATCTGAATGACTGAACTGCACTTTGGTAGTAGGAGTATGGGTATGGCAGCTTCTGAATAAATGAAGAAACTGATGCCATCTAATGGCTCTACCATGTTCTAGGAGTACAAGAAGTTTGACATACATGACAAAAAGAACAAGTGGCTAGCAATCTTTCTTTTTTAATTTAGACAAAAATTAGGTCTGTGTTGTGTATTGAGCATGTTGGTTCACACTTCAGATTTAACAAATGGTTAGCTTTATCAATAGGCCACTTGCATCTTTTAGATAATCCCTAATTCTAGCCGTTTATGGATTATTATATCATTATGGTTCATGGGGTTTACGCATAAATGTACTTTGCATGTAGAAGGTCTATATGACAAATGTATTTTCGAAGATTGCCTTGTTGCAGTTTTTACCGAAAAACAAGCAATCTTTATTTCCTCCTTTCCAATCTATGGAGAGCCATGCCCCCCACCCCTGCTATAACAAGGAATTGAAAATGACCTTGTATTCTGCATTCTGAGTAGGCTTTGATTCAAATTTATTTGTCTCCCGGTATTTTGTCAATTTTCTCGTGAGTGAACCTTGAAGAGACTTTTTTTTGTCATGCTAACTGATCTCGAATGCTTTCTTGGTTGCGGTTAAAGAATGCTATGCTGGATTACCTGGACAACATCTAGAAGGCGATGAAGTTGGAAATATGCTGGAGCAGTAATCATCTGAACTGGAGTTCTCAGGCTGAGCTAAACCAGATTTGATCATGTGTACTGCTATGTTCTTATCTCCTCTGCTCATAGTAACTTGCACTATAGAATACTCCGGCCCTGCCCTTCTGAGAAAGGCGATGCCCAGGAGAGTCATTCCTACACTTGTGTGCATTAATAGATTCTGCTGAGCTACCGATGTTTGCTAGAATTTGTTGCCATGCGGTCCCAGTTCTTGCCTTTCCACTTGTTGGATCAAAATCTTGCAATTTTTTTTCATAGGCATCATGTGGAGCTGAAGCTGAAATTACTGTATGAAGATATCTTTTGGTTATAGCTCCAGTTTGAGGCTGCTTAACCTTTGCACGGATTCATTTCACATTTCCCTTGTTGTCTATGCTATACCCTTTATGCTACGCTGAGTGTTCAACACTGAATTTTCACTCGATCTTACGGCTTGCACAATTCGTCGTTAAGTAAAACAACAATCACGTTAGGACGTTAGGGATAGGCATTCGTGTTCTTGAACACAAATGTCAGAGCATGGTTGCGACCGAACCTGAGTCGGAGCCGGCGAGCCGGCGAGGGAACACGGATCGATAAAGAAGAGCCCAGCGACGGGGCGACGGCGAGGTGCAAGACCTGACTACGCAAGACGGAGACCGAGGCAGTGAGAGGAGGGACGTGAAAAACTACGGCGAGGTAAAGTCAACATTTTTTTTCATGAGAAAGATGCACGCGTCGCATGGCCATTTCGATGCCGCGGCAGAGGAGGGCTCTCGGCACGTGAATGTTCCCGCGGTTAGGGATTTTTTTACTATATATACGCATACTCCCTGCACAAAAGTTATACATACTTATGAAAAAAATATACGCACGCACACCATTCTATAAACATGTATGTATATACATACTTATCCAAAAAGTTGTCGTTTAGAAGCTAGCCAAAAGACAGGCCAACCGAGATTCAAGTCTAGTCTCTCCAGGAGGCAGGAGCTAATTATTTCAGTAACTAAATAAACTCGGTTTATTAGGAGCACAACGTACGGAACATCCAAAATCCAAACGTCACCATTACCTCCAACCGTGAAGCTAACTAATAAGAGTAAAAAAAATAAGGAGCAGTGTCGGGGACCAATACTAGGGTACCCGAAGAGGAGGAGCTAATGATCATCAACATTGATTTGTCAGCGCGATCAAGAGCACGACTACGCCACTTGCCGGGCTCCGCCTCATCCGGCCACCGAGGCCATGGGCCCTGCCTCGTTTGATCCCCGAAGGTTGGCTCTGCCTTGGTGGGCGCTGCGGTCGCGGGCCCCGCCTCATCCGACCCCCGAGGGTTGGCTCTGCCTCAGCTGGCTCCCTGAGGGCTGGCTCTGCCTCGCCCGATGTCTGAGGGCTGGCACCGTCTGGCTCCGCCTCACCCGACGTCTGAGGGCTGGCTCCGCCTCGCCCGACGTCCGTGACGACATTACCACAACACGCGACTCCTGGGCCGGCCCAGATACCTAACGACAAGCCGAAAGAGCGATCCAGTCCCCGACCGGAGGGCCAGGCCAAGGAGGGGACGACGCTCGCTTCCGACTCTAACCCGCTTTTACGACCGGGAATACGTCAAACCTCTGCTTACAGCTCTTCTCCGACCGATACGGCGCTCAAGTCAACCGCAATACCGAGGACCATACCCTGCACACCTGCAGGACAGTACCGTCAGGCCATGCTAGAAGGGTGCTTTGGAACTTTGTAGGCATGTGAGAGCCCAAACAGTGTTGTAGACGTCGACATTTATCTTACAGTGTTGTGGACGCCGTCATTTACCCTCGGGCACGAATCCTTACAGAAGCTCACGACAACCACTACGGTCCAGAAGGTGTGACCCAAGGTCAAACTTCTAGAGTCATGCAGGGAACGGTCATATCTCAGCACGACTCGTCCCCACGACATGTCATTCTAGGGAACTCACATCGCCCACAGTGACGCGCGGTCACTGTGCTGCCTACTCTATGTATGGCCACTGATCAGCACGTTGGTTCACTGCGCCGCCCGCCGGGGTAGAGTGAGACGTGACGACCCGCTGACAATACCAGGGCATGGCATTGTCAGTAGACAGGCGCCTAGCGTGGCCCTGTCATGGTCAGCAGACAGGCGCCCGGCGTGGGGGGTTCCTCTCATCGCCTGCCATGTCAGCGGGGCCCGCATGGAGGAAAAGGAATATCCGGCGACCCTGAAGGACTTCCTTTGCCTCTCGTTTCCCTCTTATCTCCCATCTATAATCCATGCTCTCTCTTAGCCTATAAAAAGAAAAGCAGGGCACCCCACTAAAGGGCTTCGATTGACGACATCGCACATCACACTGCATCACAGCAGAACAAACACTAGCATCCAACCTCGAAGACATAGCTGAGCAGTGATCGAGCTCTCGACACCCATTCGATCTTTCCATCAGAGACTTGGGACATGTCCCTCTCTCGCCCGTTTGTAACCCCTACTATGAACTTTTCAGTGCTAATAACACGAGCAGCAGCCATGAAACTAGACGTAGGGACATTCTGCCCGAACCGGTATAAACCTTGTGTCTTTTTAGCACACCATCCGGGCCAGACGCGCAATAATACAAATTTACTCGTTGGTGTTTACTTGAAACACCGACAGTTGGCGCGCCAGGTAGGGGTCCTTTGTGTGTCCCGACATTAACATCAGGCCACGAATGGCTAGTCACGGCATCAGCTAGGTCCCGGGCTCACACGTGCGTTTCGGGGACCTGGACTTCATCGTCACGGCGAAGGGAGAGCTACTGCGGGTGCCCGTCGTCGTTCAACCCTTCCACTCCACCGGCCTCGATGCGATCACCGAGATGCTCGAGGAGCTACGGCTGCATGCGTCGAAGGCCCACGCCCCCTGAAGCAGCCAGCTCCTCGACTTCGACTACGGAAGGTTGGAGCGTTAGCTCGGCGTCTTCCTAGGACCCCCACCGTCCCAGGAGGACCTGCGCCACCTCACCTTCTCATTCACCAACGTCACAGCGCAGCTTACCGGGAGAGAGTCGTTCTCCCTAGAATACCTCATCCAGAGCGCCTCGACAGTGCTCCCATTCGATCTCTGCAACGCCACAGAGACCGTTGGTCACCTTGTGGCGCAGCGCATGATCCCATCCCTCGCGAACGATGAGTTCGTGGGGGTGGTTGAACATGTCATAGAGTCTTTCCACGATCTCCTCGTAGAGGAGCCAGAGTCACCCTCTGGCTCTGACTCTAGCAGGAGGAGCCATCACCCCTCTCGTGAATGCTTTATGACAGGTACCCTCGAGGGACACGTCGAAAGCATCCATGAGGAGGAGGCTGCCTCAACGAACGACCTCGAGGACGAGGCCGAGGGAGAGACAGTGGCCCCACCTCGCATGCAGGTAGAGCAGTTGAAAGCCCAACACCAAGAGATCAAGGAAGCGCGACTCCAGCTCGAGCAGGAACACGCGGAGCTCGATTGAGAGATCGAGCACCACAGAGACGGTGGGCACGTGCGTGCCATGGCCCACGACATGAATCGGAGGATCATCGCGGATGATGAAGCCCTCCCCCGCTTTGCTCGGGAGAGCTAGAACATCGCCACTGTGGCGGCCTTGCTCCGTGGTTTTCTAGAGGCCGCAACGCCCGAGGATCGTCAAGCCCACCACAAGATTCGCGGGCTGCTCGAGCGTGCGGCGACGCAGTAGGCCAAGAGCTTGTTATCTCGGCGATGTGAGATCGACGCCAGCCAGCGCATGCCCTCAGAGTGCCCCGGCAGGGATGCGTCGGTCCACCAAGTGCCGCAAGGCGGTAGGCAGCGCACCGCGGTCCCGGTGCATCAGCGTCTCAACCGCAAGCGTGACGCGCGCGACCCCCTCGACGCCTATAGGCGTACCTACGACGACCCGAGAGAGGGAGCTAGCCACGGCTATCACCCTCATCGTGGCGGACGCTACGACAGCGGCAAGGACCGAAGCCCGAGCCTTGGCCTGCCGGGGCCTCAGGCTTTCGGTCGACACATCCTCGATGTTGCCTTCCCGCCAAGGTACCGACCACCAACCAACATCCCAAAGTACTCTGGGGAAACGAACCCCGGACTATGGCTCGAGGATTATCGGCTTGCCTACCAAGCCGGTGGT